TCAGCAGATGTATTTTATTTTACTAGTTTTTGTCTTAAATTTAGGGCTTCATTGATAGGATCCTGAAGAAAATTTCGTAATGTGGAGCTTCAAAACCTGTTCTTTTCTCCAAACATAATTAGAAGAATTAGGTCAAAGAGAATGAGATTTGGCTGGAAATATAGCACTCATGGGAGCGAAAGGAAATGCACACAGGTTTTTTGTGAGAAAGAAGTAATGAAAAATACAAATAAGAAGGCCTTGAAATAGGTTGGAAGATAATATTAATATGGATCTTAAAGAAATATGATTGTGTGTAATGGATTGGACTCATCTGGTTAAGGATATGGACCAGTAGTGGACCCTTGTGAACACAGTGTTCCAGTGAACCTTCGTTTTCCATGAAACGTTTGTAAATCCTTGAGTATTTTCGCGACTGCTCTCGTCTCAGGAAGGAATGATCTCCACGGAGTTGTGCATTGATGTCTCCACATACACGCACAGGCCTTCCGTTTGCCCAAACCCTCGGTAAAAATTTGATGCACAGTACTTTTTGGTATTCCCAAAAGCTCCTCGATGAGTCTTGCAGAAACACATCTGTCTGATGCAAGGATTTCGGTCACTTTTTTCACATTTTCTTCAGTGCGACTTGTTCTCAGCTTTGATGCACGGGGAGCGTCTTCAGTGTCCTCCCTGCCGTCACGAAATACAGCATGCGATCGAAATATGTTCGAGCGACTCAAACAATCACTACCGTACACACTTTTCATTCATCATTTCGTACGCTTCTCCGGCTTTTTTTGTCTAACTTCAAACAAAATTTTATGTTTGCTCTATGTTCAACCCCCATTTTCTGACGAGCGTCAGAACAGTACTGTTACATTCAAGGTCAGCGGCCTCCGTAGTCTAGAGGTAACGTTCCCACCTCATGACTCGTAGTACGCGGGTTCAAATACCCGGCGGAGGTCGTCGAATTTTTAAGGGCGGAAAAATTCAGAGAACAAGTCCTCCGGGAGGGACTTTAAGCCGTGGGTCCCGTGTCGTAGCTTTACGGCACGTAAAAGAACCTCATATCTCCTAAGGAGGTCACTGAGCCAAATTACTGACGTTTCCCGCCCAACAGCAGTCTCTAATACCTCTGGTAGATGGGGGAAGCATTATAGATACCTCTCAGTTAGTAGAGCCGGTCTCGCTGGCTGGGCGGGACTGATGGTAAGCACCAGTACCGGTAGGATATAGCGACTGGTAGAATATCATAGAGGGAAGCACAATGGACCAATACAGGTCTCAGTGCATGGGAAAACCCGCCCTCTCCAATAACTAACTAACTAACTACATTCAAAGTCAGAACACATGATGCAGCGATGCTTGCGTTTTTCATTACAGACAGCTGAAACTTCAAGAATCTTAACGCCTCAACTCGCCAACAGATGGCATTGCAAGACAAACTTAAAAAAAAATGTTCTAACGGATCATAGCCACACCGTGTAGACCAACGACCTTCAGCGCGTGTTCTAAGCTTAAACCGTAACATTATCTGGAAGATACGCATCATGAGAGGGCGAGGCTCTAATTAGACATATCGCAGTACAGAAACCGAGATAGTTCAGTAGGTACTGACTATACTGCGTGCTAGAAGACCACGAAATAGTGTTCTATTTCAGGGCCAGGAGAAGTAGCTCTCCTCCACAGTATCAAGGCCGGCTCTGAGGTCCACCCAGCTTCCTGTCCAATTGGTAAAGAGGCAGAGGCTTGGAACTGACCACTCACTTTTGATGTAGCTTCGATGTTAAGAGAGCTCGAGTTATTCAGCCACTCTCCATACGTCTTCATGGCATTGTGCTTTAATTACAGGGATAGCTTTGCCTTTACATTTATTCTTGCCTTTTCCTTCATCTCAACCCTTACTTTTGGGGGCAAGCAGTAGCGTAGTTGCTTGAGGCACTATGCTACAAACCGGAAAGTTGAGGTTTCGATTCACGACGAGGTCACTGGATTTCTCAATTGACCTAATCATTCCAGCCGCGCTATGGCCCTGGTGTCGACTCAACCTCTAATAGAAATTGATACCAGAAATCTTCCTAGGGGTAAAGAGTGGCCGACGCGTAAGGCTAACAACCTCACCACCATTTGTGAGCCGATTGTTTAGAAAATGTGGGGTCCTCGAATTCCCACAACTCTATTGGCCTTCACGGCCTGTTGCAGGGGTAGGTTTATCTTTCTTACTTTTACCTCTACGTTTGTCTTTACCTTTAGCTCTACCATGTTGCAGAAGAGTGGCGAGTTGTATGGATTATTCATAAACTATCGCTCAGAAGCAACAAATTGGATTCTCGAAGAACAGTGGTTGTTAGACGCTGTATTAAGATAAAAAGCTGTAACGTAGTTTATTGATTATGACGTTCCCAGAATGACGCTAGTTGCATTTCGTAGGAAACGAACTTCTGAACTTGCAAGTCTTACATCCACTGTTCTTATCTTCACTCAGAACAGATCTTAGTGAGTCTTGTGTTCTACGTAAATTCTATACAGCTAACAATATTGTGAGGGAGTGCTGTTATTAATTAGTTATAATACCAGTCGTACGGGAAACCTTATATTGCAGGAGCTACCATTTAAAATGTTTGCCTCAAATTCATAAAAGTTAATCTACGATATCTCAGTATTAGTTGAAGGATAATGAGTAGGAAGTGATATAGCAGCAGTGTCAGATTTGAAGTCCAAAAACAGGTAATGGTTTATCAACAAGGTGTCACATCTAAAGAGACAGGAATTTTCAAATAATTTGTGTTCCGCTGTAATTGGAAAGTGGCTATGCTGATGTGGGAATTTTTTATGTTTATTTTTTATTTTAGTACGTTAATTTATTCTTTTGCCTCTTGCTTATTATTTCCTGTTCTTTTTTAAAGGAGAGGAGGAAAGCTAGGGATTCTTCTATCCCCACACACGAGTCTCAGTTTGAGAATTCCTGCCCCTTATAAGAGTTCATGTAAAGCTGCTGTAGAAATGAATTACAGAACTGCTTGTATGTACCAGCATTCTCTTGCAAGAAAGAAAATGTTGCAGCCCAGTAGTAAAGTAAATGGAACGAAGGCAAGAATTAAAAATAATATAATTGAACTGATCCCATTTATGCGTAATAATAAATATATTGAACTTTAAAGTCATCAGAAGTAAGCTCCATAAAAATGACACATCGGCAAAACGGTCTCTCTTACAGGTCGAAGCCATCATGGAACTGCTGGAGTTTCTTTGAGACCCACAGATTTTCAGGTGGATGATAAGTTCTTCCAAGAGAAATGCGGCTTGTCTATGAGAAGCTGTCTTTCTCCCATCGTTAGCAACATCTTCATGGAGCATTCTGAGAAAATGGCTCTTGACTCGGCACAACACAAACCATCGCTGTGGCCCCGGTACTTGGATGACGAACTCGTGCTTGTGGTCTGGCCTCAGGACCCATAGCGGTTGCAGACTTAGTTTAAGACCGTCCATGCAGTTCACTATGGAAATAGAGTCAGATATTGCGATTGTCTTTCTGGATGTTCTGCTCATCAGGAAAGAGACGACACTGGCCACCAAAGTCCACAGGAAACCACCCACACTGGCCGATACCTCAACTTCAACTGTAACCATCCATCCCATGGGAAAAGAGGTTTGATTCAGAGTCTGCACAATATAGCTTCCAGTGTATGCCAAGAACGACAAGACCTGGTTAATGAAATCAGCAGCCGGAGAAGTGATCTGCAGCTGAACGGGTATTCCCAAGGTTTCATTGACTCGGCCAATAATTCCAAGGGTAGCAGTCTTCTGCATAACGAGCAGCAGCCTCTGGGCTCTGTGTATATCCCATATGCGAAGGATGTTTCAGAGAAGTTCAAACGAATAGAGAATCGATACAACATCATGACNCAAGACCTGGTTAATGAAATCACAGCCGGAGAAGTGATCTGCAGCTGAACGGGTATTCCCAAGGTTTCATTGACTCGGCCAATAATTCCAAGGGTAGCAGTCTTCTGCATAACGAGCAGCAGCCTCTGGGCTCTGTGTATATCCCATATGCGAAGGATGTTTCAGAGAAGTTCAAACGAATAGAGAATCGATACAACATCATGACGATCTTCAAAACTAAACATGTACCTAGGAATATACTCATGAGAACCAGGCCGGACAGAGTTCCGCAACAGGCGTGACATTACGTGTATGGCATTCCCTGTGGATGTAGCAGAAGTTACACTGGCGAAACAGGCAGTCCTGCAGTCGTGCGTCTCCGTGAACAAAGCCACCGTCTCAAGGAGGATCTTCCATAAAAATCGAAATTGACCCTACATGCTCATGAAGAGGTCATAGGATTTGCTGGGATGAAGCTAGGATTTTGGAAAATGAATGTTACAGCAGATGTCAGAAATACAAGGAATCTGCCCATATGGCATGCTCAATCAATATGATCACTCAACCCAGTTTGGACATTACTCCTATGTGGATCCCAGATTTCAGCAATGAGGTTAGCAACTCACAGAGGATATCAGTATGACGTAACAGGTTTCTTTAATGTCTTATTCCCCGGTGATCAGTCTTTACTCCATATATGGCGCTAGCGACAGGCACAAAATAGTTTCAAAGATTCTCCGTTTTATCATTTGAATTGGTTTCCATGGACTTTGTTTGTTGGCTAGGTTTGTTGCATAAAATTTCACCTCCATTTCTTTCTTAGTTTGAGGTCTGTGCATGTTTTATCACAATTGTTATTGCATATTTTCCTGTTATTTGCCTTCGACAATGCTTGGTTTCAGTTATATACATAGCTGCATTTAGGCTGACGTTTTGCTGTCCAGTCATCGAGGTTAGCTTTTTCTAAGGAAACCAACACAGTATGTGTCTCCCTCCTCATCTGAGGAAGGAAACAGATCCAGTTATCGAAACGTTGCGTTCTGTATTTTTAAAGTACCAGACGATACGCCAAGTCCAAAACCCCAGTAATTCTGAGTGTTATGTACCCTCGGCAGCACCATTTATACTCTACATAAGTCTATATTCTTTATTCTTATCAGTATCATGACCAATACTACATGACAAACAGAAGAATTATGCAGTAGAAGAGAAGACAGTGGAGTTTCTGGTACAGTTATATACATTCGCTATGTTAGGCGTCGAGAAATATCTCTTGACGTATTACAGCCCTTCTAGTTTATCCAACTTATTGGTGACGATGGCGTAAAACGACGGTATCTCCCTTGTTTTGGTAATGTTTGCCATGAAGTAAGCCGACTGTTTCGGTGTGCGTTTTCTCTCAGGATCTTTGAAATCCACTTGGTACAAACCGAAGGTCGATCTGAAGAAAGAGAGTAATTCGTCAAATGTTCAGTTGATTAATAAATTTTCAAAAATTTGATTTGTTTCATCCTGGTCCGTCACACTAACAATATTATAAAGGGTTAATTCATTCGGTCTAGTGTGACTGATGGACTTTTTTATTTTTTTTAATATTTTATCCTTAACAATGTTTTGGTGTTAGAGACCATCTTCAGAAGGATATCAATACAATTAGAAACCACTGTTACAACATGTTTTGTGAATGTAGTGATTTCAAATTGTATTGAAGATGGTCTATAAGACCAAAACATGTTAAGGATAAAATATTAAGAAGGAGAAAAAACTGCATCAGTCACACTGGACGGAATAATCAACATTTTATAATAAATTCTCAAAATGTTATTAAATTGGCTCCGTAAAACCTTATTGATAAATAGGCAGCAATAATACATCTCGTGGACGAGTGGAAAGAAAAGCACAGACATGCAAGGCTTTGTAAAGATTTTGAAGGTATAAAATCTGCAATGATTGGCAGCTACGGGATACGAAAATGGCAGTGCGTGAAAACTTGAAAGTAACAGAAGAAGATAAGATAAATAATCACCCAACCATGCATCAACTAAAACTCAAAGTTTGCTTCTTAGTGAAGGAAGCAATGTTACAATATTGTAGACCTGCTAAAAGTTGAGCAAACGTCTGTGTATTCACAGCCCGTCAATAATGCAACAATTGTTTATTCACCATTTAACGCTTAACACAACATGTTTCGGCCACAGATGACATTCTTCAGGTGTTTTAATTCATCCAACTGTTACACTATTCTCAAGTACGCTAAATCGCGCGTTGCAGTCCACTTAAAATAACATAAATAATTCCTTAAAATCCATTAAATTTTCTATTAAAATTCTTCATAAAATCCTATTCCACCTCATAAGGGGTGTCATCCACTTGTTTAGAGTTACGTGTTGCATTATTGACGGACTGTGAGTACATAGACGTTTGGTTAAAGACTTGCAACAGGATGCTGAAATACAGAATTACTGAAGTTGTACATATTTGCTCCTGCTTAAGAATTCGAATATGATGATGTTTCTTTATGTTTACCTGACCCATGACACTGGTTCATTAAATAATATTTAATAAATTCCATTAAGAGCGGCTCTTTATGGAAAATCTAGCAGTTGCTCAACGTGTTAAAAGACCCACCTTGTACGGGACAGGGATGTTACTCTCTGTACTTACGAGAATTCGAGACAGTTGTCTATCCTAGAACAATTGAATCCACTCCACAATCCTAACTCGCATTTCTTAAAGATCTACTTTAATATTCTTCTGCCATCTACGTCTAGATCTCAGAAGTTTTCCCCGCCGTTCAGATTGTTCTACTTTGTAAACATTTATCACCTCCGCCATGCATTTCCCATGTACCATCAGCATCACCCTCGTTTACTTGCTCACTCGGAATTTGGTGAATTGTACACGCTATCCCGTATTGAGCAGGGCTAAGTCCCTTGTACTACGGCCACTTCTGGCCTTTTGTACCAGCCCCAGATGATAGGTGAGGGTGATTGTGGAGCTATTGGTGGAATGAAAATTGGCAGGGGAAACCGAAGTTCTCGGAGGAAACCCGCCCCTGCGCCACTTTGTCCACCACAAATCCCACATGACCAGACCTGGGATCGAACCCGGGCCGCTGCGGTGGGAAGCCAGCCACTAACCGCTTGAGTTATGGCGCGGCCCTACCCTCTAGTTAGATCCGAAAGTTCTCCTCAGCAACCTCCTTCCAAATCTCTTTATATGTTCTTTTAAGTTTGAAAGGCCAAGTTTCATATTCATACAAAAAATATGTAAAATTGTAATTTTTTACTTATTTTAATTTTACGTTTAAGCAGTGTATAAATTCTGTCTACACTTTAATCGAATGCACAGACACGTTTTCATGCCTTAGAGACTAGTAGGTTATGAACTTCAACTTGTATGCACTTTCTAAAACGGTTAGTTTCCAACTAATCTCTGATTATTAACTTCTATCTCGTATTTTTTATTCTTTAATAAATACATTAACGAATCTTAACATAAATTGTACTTCTCGTCTTCTTAGGAATGCCAGTTTACTTGTTATAAGGGACCATGCTGTGCTGCCCATATTAGACAGTAATGCCTACACTTTTATAGCAAAATAAGCAGTATACACGGTTGCTCTAACTTTTTTAAAACATAATCTTTACCCATCGTATTTTTGAATGTGTCAAAATAAATATCTTACTCGAACTAAGGGGAAGATAAGTCACATAAAGTGGAACATGTCTTTCAAAGGAAAAGTTTAATTTCCTTGCAGATCTTCATTCTCCAAACTACGACACTACGACATTAATTGGACTGGGAAACCCCTCTCTCCTTCTTATGTTAGAGTGGCATAGCACAACTAACTGTGTCTGTATAACTCACGTGTAACCGCTCATCCATTCGAAGGAATCAATGAGACTCCATACAATGTAGCCAATCACTTTGCATTTGTCGATGTATATCGCCTTCAGCATGTCCGTCATATATGTCTGGGAAAAAAAAAATATTTCAGGTGTATTTTGTAGTATTTTCCTTTGGAGTCACTTATCACATAATTTAATCCTTGTAAGAAATAACATGTTCATGTAGGTGGGTGGACAATATTAAAATGGATCTTAGAGATATAGGATGGGATGGTATGGATTGGATTGATCTGACTCAGGATAGGGACCAGTTGAGGGCTCTTGTGAACACGGTAATGAACCTTCGGGTCCCATAAACTACTTGGAAATTCTTGAGTAGCTGCAGAATTGGCGGCTCCTCGATAAGACCTCAGCTCCATGAGTAAGAGTAAAAGTAATGTAAAATAAAGTAAAGGTATCTCTGTACCAGGCCATGAAGGCCCATAGGGTTGTGAGACGTTGAGGGTCCCACATTTTCTAGACAATCGGCTCACAGATGGCGGTAAGGTTGTCAGCCTTACGCACCGGCCTTGCTTTACTCCCCAGGAAAATTATTTCATTAATTCCAGATACTCATTTCTGTTATAGGCTGAGTGAACCCCAGGGCCATAGTGCGGCTGGAAGGATTAGGTCAATTGAAAAAAATCCAGTGACTTGAACCCGCGACCTTCCGGCTTGTAGCATAGTGCCTTATCCACTACGCTACCGCGCGCCCCTCCATGAGTAAGAGTAAGTAATTTAAACAAATTTAATTTACAAATTAAGTACACAAACAATAAATAGACTCATGAGTCAGAGATATTCAAATAGCATACCTATTATGGGTTATGCCCTCATATATGGTTTTATGGCCGATCACAGTGGCCGCGCGGTGTAAGGCTTAAGGTGTCTTCGCTCGCTTAAACCCTGGGTACGTGGGTTCAAAACCCACTCCAGGCATGGATGGCTGTGTGCGTTTGTTCTGCGTTTGTGTTGTTCTTTTTGTATGTAGCGGGCTTGCGAAGGTCTGACCCCCCCTCCAAACAGTTCTACCGTCTGTGTATAAGATCAAGAAACTGAAAAAGCGGCCAAGGTCCAACAAAGGGCTGTAGAGCCATAGATAAAAAAGTAAGTAAGTAAAGCTATCCCTGCAACAGGCCGTGAAGGCCCATAGGGTTGTGAGACGTTGAGAGTCCCACATGTTCTAGACAGTCGGCTCAGAGATGGCGGTAAGGTTGTCAGCTTTACGCGCCGGCCGCGCTTTACTCCCCAGGAAAATTATTTAAATAATTCCTGATACTCATTTCAGTTGGAGGCTGAGTCTACCCCAGGGCCATAGTGCTGCTGGAAGGATTAGGTAAATTGAAAAGATCCAATGACCTCATCGGGACTTGAAGCCGCGACCTTCCGGCTTGTAACATAGTGCGTCAACCAACTACGCTACCTCGTGCTCCAGAGCCATAGATAGATATGGTTTTATTATATCATCTTAATATATGGTTTTATATCACCTACATATATGATTTTAGATCATATTCATACTTAGTTTTAAACCATCTCGCCCAGTGTCCTCTGTCTAGAGCGAAAGTAGAATTCAGCATTTCTGACGGACTTACCGAGTAACCTAGATGTTCATTTTATACCTTCCTTTTCCTCTTTAACATTCAGCGACAGAATAATAAGGAAGATGATGAAGACAGATAGAAAGGGTTGAACAGCTCATCAAGGAGCACGAACCACGGTGGAGGGGGTGAAGGGAATTGATATTTATAATAGGCACAATGTTTTGACTTGGCCAGATATAAAGGAAACAGCAAGCATAGTTCAAAATTGGCATCGACCGATCTCGAACATAAGACCTTCTCAACGTAAGAACCTAGCCCTAATATACGTTACTACGGCTCTGCGTAAACTTATTCTAAACTTTGTAAAAATCGGTGTATCTCAGTATAACTATCCCTGTAACAGGCCATAGAGGCCTATAGATTTGGGAGACGTTGAGGCTCCCACATCTAGACAGTTGGCTCACAGATAGCGGTGAGGTGGTCAGCCTTACGCGCCGGGCGCCCTTTACACCCCAGGAAGATTCCTGATATTCATTTCTGTTAGAGGCTGAGTTGACCCCAGTGCCATAGTGCGGCTGGAAGGATTAAGTCAATTGAAAAAATCCACCTCATCTGAACTCGAACCCGCGACCTTCCGGCTTGTAGCATATTGCCTCAACCAACTACACTACCGCGTGCCTCCACCTGAATTTAGAAGCTTAGCTAATTCCGTTCTAAAGTCTTTGTAAAACATAAAGTCCATGTTTTAATTAGTTACCCACTACGTCATGAAGGCGTGTGGGGGAGTTGATGTGTATCTCCACTATTCTTGACTTCGGCTCTAGATGTAGGTGTGTGGCCAGATTCACACCCAGGCCGCTGGACACAGCCACCTGATACTTAAGCCTCGTATCAAATAAGTATCAGGTTTGGTGGGCCCCAGAACCCGTCTGGACGCTGTGGAGTAAAGAAAAATACTGCCCGGCCGGGAATCAAATACCGGCCGTCCAGCTAATAGCCCTTCGCTATACGGATTAAATTGTGCCCAGTTCTTTACGTTGCTTCCTGCCACGTCTGTCCCAATATACTCTAAAATCTCCTCCAAAATCTCTGATATGTTACAAATTCATTCACTCTTTCCTTCGTGTTATCTTCTTGGTACATTATCTAACCAGTAGGTCTGTATTCAGTTTGTATCTTCGAAATTAAGTGACGTGGCAGTGATAAATACTTGTAATTATATTATCTTCGTTACTAGACCTTGAAAATGTTTGTGTGCTAATTAATGTTTAGTTCCGAAAGTACAAAGAAATTCCACGAATGGAGAGCCGACAATTATACGTACATAATTCCAAATGAACTGAATACTTACAGCAAGGTACCCAACTCTTAATGTATCATTTAACTGTCCTCCATCAGCGAATCCGTTTTCCGTTATAAGAATTTCCCATTCTTCTCCATACTCCTTCCTGATCCATGCAATGATGTCTCTCAGTCCTTTTGGTGTTATCTAGAATAAAGTGAAATACATTGTTGTGTGAAACTTATGTAACATACACTGAATTGCCACGAATACTTACTTGCCGCTAATTACCTGTTGTGTTCAGTTTGTGGGGAGGAAGGTTCTTCCCCGGTTTCGCTCTTCCCCGAAGTTCCAATGACCGCTTAGTTCTATTTTTTCGCATATATTTTTAAGTCACCATTTTCATTGAGCAGTAGGTACCGTAGAAAGTATCTCATTATTTATGATTTTCATTTTCTGAAATGTTGGCCCTGAAAGAGATGCTTTATGTCTAAGTATTCCGTTTTACAGACGCAGCTTCGATGCAGTAAGTCTCAACAGTGACAGCGTCCCTGTATAGCCAAGTCGGAATAAAAAATAAAGGTAATTCAAAAGAATCAAATTCCCCAGGTTTCTGGATCACCTACCCCCAAATGTTGTTGTTCAGTTGATTTTCAGAGATCATAATTTTTCTTAGCCAGTTATTTATCTGATCAGTATGATATTTTTTTTTTGGGGGGGGGGAATTTATCACGTAAAGAAACATTTAAATTTTAATCTTTGCTGAGCACATCGCTCAGGAGATAACAATTTATTATAAAGTAGTCTGGTAACTCACTGCAATAAACAGACCTTTACCTCTAGCGTTTTTGTTTTATTCTCAGTATAGGAAATAAGAAAAGTTTATAACGTATTATTCTTCAAACCTTCTAATTTCTCTCTTTATTTAGGGAGTAAAGGCTTGCACATAATTATTTGAAGTCAGATAATTCTCCCTCTTAATAAAAATCTAGAAACTAAATTCCGTGCTCTGTAGCCGCAAGCGAACTATACCGACCGAGCGACTGCCGCTTGTTGGCGAAGTTAGTGCCAACTTTAGCGGATAGGTGTCATATGGTCAGCGTAACGGATCCGCACGGCCGTTAATCTCGGGTTTTCTAGACCGGCTTAATAAAAATCAAGTACAACTAATGTATCTAACAGCCGAACATGTTGTAATATACTATGGTCTGTTCTGAATTTGAGATTCTAAGAGCGTAACTGTGACAAGTATTATCTTCTTTAACATGATGCCGTATAGTCCGGCAAAAGTTCACCTACATTTCGGAGGAATGTACTGAGTCCCAACGAAGGGAAAAATAAAAAAAAAACCAATAATTCTGAATGTTATGCACCATCTGCAGAACCCTTTAGGATCGACATTGTTTCTAATGTCTGTTAGAATATTTTATAGACTATTGTATTGTGGAGGACCGTCTCTGTGGTCAGATTTCCTGGCTACAGATTCGATTGTCGGCGCTACCATTTTTCTGAAAAGTAGTGGGTCTGGAACAGGTTCAACTCAGCCTCATGAGAATAATTGAGGTTATATTTCAAGAAAATAAGGGCTACGGTCTAGGAAACCGAGACTAACGGCCGTGGGGATCCGCTGCTCTGACCACGTGACCCCCTCTATCGGCAAAAGTTGGCACTAACTTGGCCGACAAGTGGCGTTCGATCGGTCGGTATAGTTCGCTTGCGGACTACAGACCACAGAATTTAACAGTTCAAGATGTCTCTCGTAAAAGTAAGGGATCTGACAACCCACTAGGGCTGCACTCAGAGCACTTACCGTTTCCCACTTCGAAGTTCTGGATGAAGGCCACTTCTTGTTTCCAGTCATCACTACGCCACTGTCCCTATCGAATGAAGGATCAGGTCCCTGTTCCCCCTTAGCAACATGTTTCGAACCGTATTGGTTCAAGGCGAAATAATCAGCAGTTCCTGCAACACGTTGCAAATCGTGTTACCCACAGGAAGTGCAGCACCGGACGATAGAACAAATCTTAACAAGAGTATTTATCACCCTCTCTCTCCCAATGTAGCCTGAGGTCGCAGCTACACGTATTTTCTCTCTACTAACCAGTCTCTCAATCTTCCTGTCTGTTAGGGGAACAGGATATCGCTACTTAAATAGATACCGTATTTACGCATGTATGGGCCGCACATTTTTTGCCAAAAATTCAAGAGGAAAACTGGGGTGCGGCTTATATTCGAAATATTCGAAATCACACTTCATTTTAAAAATATTATATTCATAATTAGTAATACAGGGTGTTCTACTCCTGANAAATTTCGTCTATCCTAAAAAAAATTAAAATATTCTTGAACAACTTGAACTTAAGTCTGTAAGCAAATTTTTGGATTGCTCCATCCCCTTCCCTTCCGAAATAATAAAGAGTATTGGCGGGAGGCATTTAACACTTCTGTTGTGCAGGCAAATAATTCTCTGCTAGGAGTGGTTCAGTCTTAAGAAACTAAAAGAAAGCCCATGCGGTTGTGAGACGTTCAGGGTCCCACATTATCTAGACAGTCGGCTCAAAGATGGCGGTAAGGTTATGAGCCTTACGCGCCGGCCGCCCTTTAGTCCCCGGGCAAAATATTTAATTAATTCATGGTACTCACTTCTGTTAGAGGCTGAGTTAACCCCATGGCCATAGTGCGGCTGGAAAGATTAGGTCAATTGAAAAAAATCCAATGAACTCATCGGGACTTGAACCCACGACTTTCCGGCTTTTAGCATATCCCCTCAACCAACTACGCTACGGCGTAATGTCTGGCTTAAATGGGTTCTCAGCTTTGGAAAACTTAAACGACGGTAACAAACACGTAGCTTTAAACAAGTGGACGACGCCCCTTATGAGGTTGAATAGGATTTTACGAAAAATTTTAATAGAAAAGATTTTAATGGATTTTAAATAATTATTTATGTTATTTTAAATGGACTGCAACGCACGATTTTAGCGCGCATGAAAGCAGTGTATCAGTTTGGACGCATTGAAACACCTGAAGATGGCCATCTATGACCGAAATATGTTGTGTTAAATGTTAAATGGCGAATATTTTAATGATTGTTGCATTATTGACGGACTGTGATACATAGACGTTTAGATCAACTACTGATCAGATCTTTTGCATTCGTCAGATACTGTAGAAAAAATGGGAATAGAGTGAGGCAGTTCATCAAGGAAGCCTATGATTCACTTAGGAGGCAAGTACGTTATTTTACAATATTCTCACACATTTTGGATTAACCATGAAGCTAGTTAGGCTGATTGAAATGTGTTTAAATGTTGCTTATAGTAAAGTCTGTATAGATAAATATTTATGTGATACATTCCTTATTCAAAATGTTCTAAAACAAGGAGATGCCTTATTGCCACTGCTTTTCAACTTTGCTTTAGAATTTGCCATTAGGAAGACCCAGGAAAACCACATGGGACTGAAATTAAATGGGACACATCAGCTGCTGGTCTATGCTGATGATGTGAGTCTACTGGGAGATAACATAGATACGATAAAGAAAATCACAGAAAATTTAATAAAGGCTAGTAATGAGGCTGACCTGAAAGCAAACGCAAAGAAATCTAAGTACACGTATATGTTACCAGAATGTAGGAAAAAATTACAACATGACGATAGCTAATAGAATCCTTAAAAATGTGGCACAATTAAAATATTTGGGAACGACAGTAACAAAACAAAACCCAGAACCTTTTGTCTTCTTGTCTGCTGTCCAAAAACAAAAATTAGGATATACAAAACTATATTTTTTGTTGTTGTTCTGTATTGGCGTGAAACTTGGTATCTGACGTTAAAAAAGGAAATTCAGAAGGGAGCATAGACTGAGGGTGATCGAGGGGAACGTTCGGGCCGAAGACAGATAAAGTGACGGGATGTCGGAGAAATTTGCATAATGAGGTGCTTCATTACTTATACTCTTCACCAGATACAGTAACAAAGATCAAGTCAATGAGGGTGAGATAGTAGGGCATATAGCACGCATGGCGGATTTGGGCCGGAAAGCCAAAAACAAAGAGACCAGTAGGAAAACCTGTATATAAGTGTTAGTTAGTTAATTAGTTAGTTAGTTAGTTAATTAGTTAGTTAGTTAGTTATTGGAGAGGATGGGTTTCCCCATGCACTGAGACCTGTATTGTTCCATTATGCTTCCCTCTATGATTTCTACCAGTCTTTATATCCTGCCGGTACTGGTGCCTACCATCAGTCCCGCCCAGCCAGCGAGACCGGCTCTACTAGCTGAGAGGTATCTATAATGCTTCCCCCCATCTACCAGAGGTATTAGAGACTGCTGTTGGGCTGGAAACGTCAGTTAATTTGGCTCAGTGACCTCCTTTGGAGATATGAGGTTCTTTTACGGGCCGTAAAGCTACGACACGGGACCCACGGCTTAAAGTCCCTCCCGGAGGACTTGTTCCCTGAATTTTTCCGCCCTTAAAAATTCGACGACCTCCGCCGGGTATTTGAACCCGCGTACTACGAGTCATGAGGTGGGAACGTTACCTCTAGACTACGGAGGCCGCTTATATAAGTGTTAGTATAATATTAAAATGGACTTAGAGATATGAGATGGATCGGTGTGGAATGATCTAGCTCAAGAAAGGGATAAGTGGAAGGCCCTTCGGAGCACGGCAATGAACTTTCAGATTCCATAAAATGTTGGAAAACTCTTGAGTAGCTAAGCTACTAGCGGCTTCTCAAAAAGAACTCGGCTACATGGAGTCAGTTTGATGTATGATGAACCCGACCTAATGAAACTGGCGGGGACAAGTGTCTAGAACAAGCGAAACAAATCCCTGTAAGGAAGTAACATTAACCAAGATAGAAGGCACTCCTACAAGGTAGCTTTATAGTATAGGTAAAAGGTAAAGATGTCTGTGTATTTATTCAATTAAGTACGACACCATGAAGACGTCTGAGGGAGTAGAGGTATAGCTCCACAATTCTTGACCTCGGAACTGGATTGAGGTGAGTTGTCAGCTTCACGGCCCGGCCACTTTACCCCTCTGATAAAGCCCTCGGTGCCCACTCGATAGGGGTCTGTGTGGAATCCAGAGTCGATCTGGACTCTGTGGGAGTAGAGAAAAATCCCTTGCTCCTTCTGGGACTCGAATCCCGAACGTCCAGCCAGCAGCTTGTTGCTATACCTACTGAGCTATCCGGCTTGATAGTGTTGAACAAGACCTAAGAATTTCCGCATTATAAATTGTAAGGAAATATAGAAACATCGCTGAGAATGTCAAAGCCTGTAGAAGTGTTATAGACCTATTAGTGATGATGGTGATTATATTGATCATGACGGGGACGACGATGATTGACGATGATCCCTGCAAGAGTCATAAGAGATCAGTCTGAACACACAGGACGTTATTTCCGTGAGGTTGCCTCCTCCCTGAGAGATATTTTAGACAGAGTACAACTTTCTATTTACTCACCTCTTATGTACTCGACTTCGGCCGAAGTGAATGACGGCAGACGAGAGAAAGGGAACCCTGCGGCAAGACTGAAATTGCTGATCCTGTCCTTCATTACCTGAGGATAATCACCCTCTTTGCTATATATTGGATGGGCAAACCAACCAAGCTGGAACAAAAATATTTTCTCTTCGTTCCATAATGTTACAAGACGCCAGCTAAGGATCTCGTTCCTCGTCCCCGGGTGAAGTTGTCCCTGTGCCTAACTACGCACTATGCCATGAAGGCGTATGGGGGAGTGGATGTATAGATCCATATTTTCTTGGCGTTGAGCAGTATTTAGAGGTCAGTGATCAGCTTTACATCTCTGCCGTTTTAACCCCAGGGAAAAGCCCCATGTACCCTTTAGATAGGAATCTGGTGGGCCCCAGAGCCGGTCTGGACGGCATGGAGAAGGGAAAATTATTACCCCCACCAGGACTCGAACTCCAACCTCTCGGTTGTCCACCCAGTAGCCAGACGCTATACCGACTGCGCTACCTCCGTACCTATAATAAACTCTGCTGAAATAATGAAATGTACGAGTATTATTTCTTATATCCTACGTCTGTTTCATGCTAAAAACTAAGTGTATATTAGATTAATATTCCATATAACAAATTTCGGAAAGGATATTTATATAAATTAATGTTGTTCCTGTGCTTAACTAATTAAGCACTACGCCAAGAAGACGTATGGGGGAGTGGATGTATAGATCCACGTTTTCTTGACCTCGGCACTGTTTGGTGGTGTGATCAGCTTCACGCTTCGGCCGCTTTACCTTCGGGTAAAGAGCCCCTGGTACCCATTGAGGATATGAGCTCTCGAACATTTATCTGAAACTTGTAAAATAGGACATTGCAGGAATCACATCACATATATTTTCAACTGTTTATCGCCGACACGTGCCATGGTAATAAATATCACATAGAAATTTCTGGTGTATTAAAATGTGTCATCTTGTAGTATCGGAAAAGCTTCTGGAGCTATAAGGTTCTTCAGTGACCCGAATCTGTCGTTTCGGCATTGTAATCAGTGGTAACAAATGTATGTTTGCCTTCATCAGTTATTCCAATTTGGCTGTAGAATTTCCTGCAAGAGAGAGGAACGTCTGAGAGACCCAAGCTTGTACTGAGGGACAGTATTAAAAAAGGACCGAAGAGATCTTTGTGGAGGGGAAAGTTGTGTTCAGTTCTATAGATATCATAAAATTGAGGTCCCACAGAAACCTTCTCAACAGCAACATCCACACTGAACATGGTACACGACAACGGAAATCGCTATTTCTTAACAGACCCAGGAAAATGACAAGAGAAAAAGTAACACATATCGTAACGAATCCCACCACAAACAACGAACATCGGTCAACAGTAAAACAACAAAATCTAACAACAGTATTTAAGGATATCTCCAATACATATGGGATAGAACAACATCCAAAAAAATGTACCAAATTTGTATCGCAAACATAGGCAACTTCCAACAACAGCAACAATAAAACAGCTGAAGATTCCGAGAATAACTGCTTTAACAATAACGCCTCCGTGGCCTGTAGTCCGCAAGCGAACTATACCGACCGAGCGACCGCCGCTTATCGGCGAAGTTATTGCCAAATTTTTGCGGTTAGAGGGTGTCACGTGTTCAGCGCAACGGATCCCCACGGCCGTTAATCCTGAATAATATTATTGAAATTATCAAATTGATGATGGGCATTGAAGAGAATGACTCATTGTCGTGTCTGGAAAGACCAGACAGCATTCACTCAGGGCAGAGTTCAATATTTCCGCAGATAGATTGAGCAACACGTGGACAGGACAAGTGATGGAGAGGTTACCTTCCTTTAGACGACAGGTTTTATACACAACAGGAATGGAGGAGCATTGAGACAGAGCTGTGTTGTTCAGATCCGCAGTAAAGTTGAGCAACAAACCGATAGAACAAGAGATGGAGAAACTACTGTGTCTCAGATGACAATTTATACACAGTAGGAGTGAAGCGACACAACTACAAAACCCCCCTTTGATTGAACTTTCTAGGATAACAAACAATGAGCTGATTAGTACAGAAATGGGATCACGGCTGACACACAGCCCACTATTGACCAGTGGTTGTCCTTGAAAGAGTGCTCGATGTTGTTTGCATCACCAATATTTTTCCCTGATGATGGAGAGAATCAGGTCCCCGAAACGTTGAGTTTCTGTTCTTAATTTAGTAGACTGATAGCCCAAGAAAACTATATCAAGTTTGTCTCCTTGGAAGCTTAAAATATTATGCATAGAGATGGAATTTTTATTCCTTTATTTGCAAACAAACGAAAATTATGATAATTGTATAGGCAAAGGGTATTAACTTACACTAAACTCCAACTCTATTTTTGCTGCTTCCTGGTCTTGTGTGGAGGTTTTATCCCGTGGTGCGGGCCAATCTATGGGCATATTGAGAGATATTCTGCCTGAAATGTAGAATTTCAAATCAATTCACCTTGATATACATCATTACGTTTATATATTTTGTGTGTAAAGGAATTTTCCATAGCGATTCGCCGATGCAACAATGTCTGTCTTACTTACTTACTTACTTACGTGTACTTACTTACTCATGGTGCTGAGCCCTTCTGGAGGAGCCACCAATTCTGCAGCTACTCAAGAATTTCCCAACATTTTATGGAACCCGAAAGTTCATTACCGTGTTCACAAGAGCCCTCCACTCGTCCCTATCCTGAGCCAAATCAATTCAATCAATACCATCCCATCCTATCTCTATAAGATCCATTTTAACATTGTCCACCCACCTACGCCTTGATCTTCCCAATGGTCTCTTTCCTTCTGGCTTTCCCACCAATATCCTACATGCATTAATCTTCTCCCTCATTCTTGCTACATGCCCTGCCCACCTCATCCTCCTCGACTTGATCATTCTAATTATACTTGGAGAAGAGTACAAATTATGAAGCTCCTAATTATGTAGTGTTCTCCAACCTCCTGTCATTTTATCTCTCTTCGGTCCAAATGTTCTCCTCAGGACCCTGTTCTCAAACACCCCCAGTCTATGTTCCTCCCTCAACAATGGCTGTCTATTTATGTTATAGAAAACCGAGTAGCATGTAATAGCTGTAAGGTCTAGGACCTATTCGGAACGCCACCAGACAACCGTATCCCTTGTTTGGAATTTTCATGGGATTTCTCTCTCAAACAAGTCTTGACTGCCTCCGTACACATTCGTATTTGCTCGCCACTCATTTTAGTATTTCCCCCGCATTCGACAACTTCTGATGTGAGAAAACTTATTAAGTAATTAAAAAATAAATCAACGAAACCGCATAACAATAATTTTCGCTACGTTTAAAGTAAAATTTATACGAATATGTATTATATACAATATATATCTAATATATCTAATATTACGAAACTCGTAATATTACAGACTCCCTGTGTTTTGTAAGTGACGAATGAGAATAGAGAACAAACTGATAGGCTCCCGCCACATATAATAATGCAATCTGAGAGGGCGGGAAGATTATACAAAGGTGAATATAAATTGATTTTTGGAGCCTATTGTGAACTAGTTTAAGATAACTACGCAACATTCCCTTACAGAGGCAGCCACAAGAACTGTAATCTGGCTGATATTAGAAACGAAAATGTCTTGAGTGACACCTGGAGTATTTCCGCTGTATCAGTAGGCTCTGAAATCAGTGATTGAAGTGTAATTTTAATAACTAGTTAGGCCGTGCCATAGTTCAGATCATGTGGGATTTTTTGTGAATTAAGTGACACTGAAGCAGGTTTTCTCCGAGTACTTCAGTTGCCCCTGTCAGTTCTTATTCCATAACCTGATTCATATTCATTAATAATCCAGTCATCGAAGCATATAATGTAAGATTTGAGGCTTTCACGGCGGTGACTATGAAGAAAGCAGTCTTCTGGGATTTGGCGCCGTGTATATGTGGTGTTAACCGACGTTTTTTACCGTGTCTCACGGTGTTGTCGCTTGCAGATTTACCTATACTTTTTCTTCAACCCTGAAGATGGGGGCGATACGTTCCTCCGAAACGTCGGTTAACACCACATATACACGGCGCCAAATCCCAGAAGACTGCTTTCTTCGAAGCATATAATCTTCAGACTGACAGTGTCGTTATATAACAGGCTTTAATGTTTTAATGGCAAATTAATGGTATTTTTTCCAGTGGCCTTTCCAGCCCATTCAGGGACCTGGACTCTTATTCAGTTCCGTAATCATTTTTAACAGACGGTAGGACTCCTTGGGCGGGTGGTCAGCCCGTCGCAAGGGGTCTACCTGTACACAGAATAAACGCATACACACACCAAATATGTGTGCTTTGATTTGGAATCGAACCCACGATCCCAGCGTCCGGGCGAGCGATGGCAGTTCATGTCTTAGATGGCTCGGCTACTGTGACCGGGTAATTAATGGGACTATGGTCCTGTATATGGCCACGTCATAGGTGAAGCGGTTAGTCTCTGACTTCCCACCGCGGCGGCCGGGTTCGATCCCGGGTCTGGTTAAGTTGGATTTTTGGTGGACAAAGTGGCGCTGGGGCAGGTTTTCGCCGAGTACTTCGGTTTCCCCTGCCAATCTTCTTTCCACCAATTGCTCCACAGTCACCCTCACCTATCATCAGGGGCTGGTACAACAGGCCAGAAGTGGCCGCAGTACAAGGGCTTAGTCCCACCCACTAGCAATAAATAAATGGTCCTCTATAATTGCAAGGTAACTAAGGTAGTATTTACTGTCGTTTGCAAGACTAACTAAACTAGTTCCATGGACAAGAGTCCGTCTTGGGAAGCTGATAATCGCACAGCTGGTGAGGAACCTCCTCTCCCCACCCCTTTATGGAACTGAAACTTTTATAACTCTGTTAGAGTTGAGCTTCTTACGGTAGTGACTATTGCAAATGCGGTCCTTTCGGCTGTTACGCGATGTGGTTCGGAGAGAGGCCACTTCAAGCTGCTAATTTATAACCCAGGAGACCATAACTTCGTTTATAACCCTCTTCTCAGCAGGCCGCTGCTAGACTCTGTACTGCGCCTGATAAATCCAGTCCACTATCTGATGCCGTATTTGTCAGTGGGATGTTTCAATATTACATTCTTATCTAGCACTAGGCTCTGGAATTTGTGTTTCAAGTTCAATCTTTTTGATTAATCAAACAGATTTCGTATATCACCCATACTCGCTGCACGTCCTGTCCATTTTGTCCACTTGGTGTCATCGGCCTAGTGAAGACTGTAAATTATGAAGCTTCTTATTTCCCGATCCCTTCCATGTCACTGTTACGTAACTTCCTTAATTAAATATTGTGGCTCATAGACCCTTTGCTATGCAGAGACCTCGAAACGGACAATGAGTACAGCCTTTGTTACTCAATAGGCTGATAAACAAATATCAGTTTCTTAGCAACGGCCCGTAAGCACGTCATCAATACCAGGGCTATCGCTAGGCAACTATTCGGTAAGCGGATTCCCGCGGCAGCATACGAATGCAACGGTCGAGGTATTGTTGGACTATAACAAAGGAAACGGTGATTTTTTTCTGTGGTTTGTGTCGAAATATTATAAGCAGGGTCAGTCGAGTTCCGGAGAAATTGTCAGCAGTTCAGTCGAGTGAAGTTACATGAAGTAACTGCTTGGTGAAAGGGATAGTACAGTTGTCATTGTTCTGTGTATCTTAATCTTTTCGTTTTCAGGTTAAATGTGAAGGGAAAAGATTCTGAACTCAATAGTAGCAGATATTGTTCAAATTTAATTTTTTCATTTAAATTTTTTTCGTCAACGTAATTTTCATTTACACTCTCTTTCCCAATTTTTATTTGTTCACATTTCACCTATCTTAATATTACGATTTTTCTTCTCTCTGATTCTGAACAATGGACATATATTTGGTTTTCTCAGCTTAATTTCTACTCGTATGTTACCCCAAATTCCTGCATTTAGTAGGGTGTACACATTTTCCGTAAGACGCTTATTTTTGACACAAAGTATCATGCTATTCTTACTTTAATGTAACATCATATTTTATACATTGTACATTAATCTACAAAGAATCAGAGGTTTGTTTCTTGAGAAAATCCTGTAATTCCTACACCTGGCAAGATGTATGATATTGATGAATTACTGTTAGTGTTATTGGAAGTTTACTCAATATCTCAGTATCTCTGTGACCGCCACTGTGGTCTAGTGGTCAGAGTTCCTGTCTACAGACCCAGAGGTCCGGGTTTAGTTCCCGGCGCTACCAGATTTTCTGAGAAGTAGTGGGTCTGGAATGGGGTCTACTCAGCCTCTTGAGGATAATTGAGGAGCTGTTTCAAGGGAATAGCGGCTCCGGTCTAGAAAACCGAGATTAATGGCCGTGGGGATCCGTTGCGCTGGCCACGCTACACCCTCTATCCGCTAAAGTTAGCACTAACTTCGCCGACAACCGGCGGTCGCTCGGTCGATATTGCTCGTTTGCGGACTACAGACCACGGAGTTTTTCGTTATTGCTCAGTATCTCTGGAACCGTATAGAAATAAGCGAAAAAGAAAGGAGGAAATCTACCTAGAACTCCGTGAGCCGCCAGAAGATCCATAACCTTCCACCGAGTTAGTTGCTATGACTAGCACTCACCAGCAATAACATTGTTCTTCCACTAGTATTTAAATGAGTTGTTACAGCTCGGTTGTGACGATGAGAAATACTTTAAAGCAAATAGTTTCTGACGACCGAATATACCTAACAGAGGCTTACCTTTCTGCTTTGAACGATATTGTTTTTCATATAGATGGTACACCCGCGCATGTGCCTTGATCATGTTATGTGCTGCCAAGTACCCACCAATTCCAGTACTGTTTAAGCCAGGAGCGAAAAGTGTACCTTCATAACCAAATGCTTGGTAATAAGGTTCATTAATTGTGCACCACCATTTTACCTGGAACATATTAACAAGTTCAAATGAGAGTTGAAAATAAACACACAAAGCCTATTTTGTTATTGTATGGATCAATTACTGTTAATACTCTTTTTTTTTTTTACTTTATTTTTGTCAAGAACTTTTTTCTTAGTACAGATTTGTGCCTTCGTTAAATTTCTCAGATAAAACCTGGAAGTTTTGCACCACTGTGGTATTTGTTTTTGTTAACTTGCAATATTTCATACCTGTTCGTATACAGTGTATGTATGACATATCTTTTTACCAACTTTCGGTTGCATAGCTTATAGACATCAAACCAAATCCTAGGGAAAGTGTTTTCACTACCACAATGTTGTTAATTTAAATTGTTCCATGCTTTTCTGAAATATGTTAGCCTACCGTACATAATTTCAGGGCCGTATTTTAAGTGATAGATTTTTCTGGTCAGTGTCACAAATTCGAGGGTCTTATATGTTGATATTACCTACTGTAAGACATTAAAAAGAATACCATGTTTGAATGCCCTATAATATAACGTCCATATCAAATTTTGTAAAAACTGGTCACCTCAGTAATTACAAGGATACACACGTATGGACAGAGATATAAACGGACAGAATTATAATCCCATGAGCCTAAACTCTTTCTTTAGGCATGGAAATCGGGCTAAGAGATGAGAACTAATTCCATTTCTCTGACCATCATGTTCACGTCTACAAACTTAAAGTAAGCGATTTAATATGAGTATAAGCTATAATTTATTGAAGCAGTAATGCTGTAAACATTGTAAAGCTGTCTTTTACAATAATACTTATAGCACCAAGCCGGTTGGTAAGGCGGTGACGCTGTAACCTTATATTTCAGAAGTACTCGGTTTTAATTCCGCCTGGAACACCGACTATCTTGATTGTTGTCTTCCATGGTTTTACTCATTTCCTCTAAGCAAAAGCCAGAATAGAACCTAATTTATTTCACGAGCCCTCCCTTCCTAGGACCTGAGAGTTCATCATTGTCCCGTCTTGCCATCCGGTGAAGTTATATAGTCTGAGATGCTAACAGCGTCCTAAAATAGATGAGAAATCATCACAGCCCACAACAGACTTCAGTGTGAAGCTTTCGGTATGGTACAATATTGTCATATCTCTCTGTGTTCATAGGCCTACGTATTGTAACTTTAACTTGTTATCATGAATTTTCTGTATTTAACATTTAATTTCCTTTTCGACTTACTGGTAAACTATTGTCTGAATATGTTACTTACTCTGTCACCGAAGTTTTCGAAAATCACTTTAGCGTATGCTTCGTAATATATTATAATGTCATCATTGGCAAATCCTCCGAGATCTTGTAGGTGCTGTGGCAAATCCCAGTGGTATATTGTCGCCTGGAGACATAAAGTAACCACAACTGAATACCGTTTTATTTTAATTTTGCTTTTCCTTGAATAATGACCTAACTGTCATATAGAAATCAATGATTCTCAAATGGTTTGAGCTTGGTACACACTAAAAACGCTAGATAACGGTCTGGGTAGCTTAAAAATTAAGAGAAATTTGAGAGTACACAACTTTATCAACTGCTTCTGTTTTTATGCGTTAAAGGCTTTACAAGGATATGCTGTGTCAATGTGGTCTACACCTTCGATATGACCTAATTCCTTATAAAATAATTTGCGATATTAGATCAACGAAATTTCACATACATTGATACCGAAAAGTAAGAATCAGGGCTGATAATACCTTTAGACCGCGCCATAGTTCAAGCGGGCCGGGTTCGATCCCGGGACTGATCAAGTGGGATTTATGGTGGACAAAGTGGCGCTGGGGCAGGTTTTCTCGGAGTACGTTGGTTTCCCCTGCCAATCTTCGTTCCACCAATTGCTCCACAATCACCCTCACCTATCATCTGGGGCTGGTACAATAGGCCAGAAGTGGCCGCAGTGCAAGGGACTTAGTCCCACTCCACTAACAATATCATACCTTTCGCAAGCTGCTTTGTTACCCATAAGAATACAGATAACACATTCGAAAAACACTGATATATATGGCTGGGTGACTCTTATTTTATTTGTCGAAATGCCATGTCATTTCGTTACAAAGGACGACAAATAAATATGTTGAGGTTGTCAATAATTCAGTATATTCATATTCTTATTATGCGTCCACATTAAGGTATCGGTTCTTGCCTCCAGCACAAGAAACCTCCGTTACAAGGGTAAGGCTGCTAATGAATTCAGGAAATTAATCCCTGTTTATACAGAGAAATCAGCAAAATACTGAAATATTGTTACGTACAGGTTAGTACGCATCACGAAAATAACGGGTTATAGTTCGGATTATTGGATTTATTAGCACCTTTGCTACAAATTCTCTCAGACACACTTAAATATAGCGCTATCGCTGATTCACACAATTTCCAGTTCATTTTTGCACATGCACCAGGATTCCCAATCTTCACTAGTCGTCTCCTGACAACGGATCTAAACACATAAACTAGCACTTCAAATAACTATGAAGTCTTTTTGCTATTTCGTCTTCAATCACCCTGAAACCTCGGAGCTAAAAATTCTTCCATTCTCACTTGTCCAGCTTAGACTGACTCGTAACTTGCCCTTGAACTAACTCTTTCACTCTCCCTGTTACTCTGGAAACCCCATTATATAGCCGCGCACGAACCATACAGAAAACCCATCACGTGTTCTATATCCACGGTTATGTGACGTCACTGCCTAAGTGGAAATGTGTTTACTGAGCCTTTGCTTAGAAAAGGGTTGCATAACCCAATTTTTCCACCGCTGATCGTCGCGGACGACATACAAAACACAGCCTCATCTATCGTTGCGTAACCTAGCAACGGACTTTTTACAAAGAATCTGTCGTCGCGAGACCTTGCTTACCAATCCGTTGCTTGGCAGTGCGTTGACATGTCGCAATATGATCTGAGTGCGAAATGCTGAGTTATTATGATTGAAGCAAGCAGTGAACATAAATGTGACTGCGCTTGAGAGAATAATATAATATAATATAATATAATGTGTGTCCACAAAGTCCCTTCACGAGTTTGAAAAATTGTGGCACGCAAACAAATTGAGCTAGCCACATGCTGTTTGCAGCAGCTCATTCTGAAGTTTTCTTTTGCCGCCAACAGATGGCATAAGCGTCCATCTTTACGTTTCTCAGTCAGTTGTTTGTGAAATGGCGACTGTGCAGGATCGCGCGCGTTAAGTAGGATGGCTTTTTGAGACAAAATTAGTCACCCAGACTCAATGAAATTACCTCTCACAGTTCAATAAGCAACCTGTGCGTGACAAAACAATAAGAGAATGGCAATCTGAAGACACCGTATCAGAATGCGATCTCGGCTATTGCAGCGGACATGCTCTACAGAACATGGCAAGAGCTCGAATATCGTCTTGACGTTCTCCGTGCTACCAAGGGAACCCACATCGAAATCTACTGAGGTCAGTAAAGAACTTCCAAAGCTTCGTTGTGATCTTCCGCAAACCGCATGTGGCTAGCTCAGTTTGTTTGCGATCCACAATTTTTTCAAAACCCCGAAGTGACTTTGTGGGCACGCTGTACAAAACTGTATAAAACACAGAGCTGAGAGAATACCATGGGTATCAGGTTGTTACTGAGCACCTCGTTGATGACACTGTTGTAATGATCAATGCCTTTCTGGTTGATGATGTTCGGAAGCCCGAGAGGCATAATGCGTGGCCAAGATATGGAGAAACGGTAGATCTGCATCTGGGAAAATATCACCAAATTAGTGCGTCTAATATGAAGATAGAACTCAGGAAAGTACATAAACTGATGTTTGGGAATAGCGCACCAAAGCATGAGGTTAAAGTATTTGTTGTTTTAAGTTCAGGCGGTCAGTTGAAAGAAGTAACCATCATGTAATACCGTATTTACGCATGTATAAGCCGCACATTTTTTGCCAAAAATTCAAGAGGAAAACTGGGGTGCGCCTTATATTCGAAATATTCGAAATCACACTTCATTTAAAAGAAATTATATTCATAATTAGTAATACAGGGTGTTCTACTCCTGAAATAATATTCCAAGAAAATTATTTTTTCTAAAATTTCTGTCTGAAAATTGTGCTGCGGCCTATACATGCGTACATACGGTATGTTATATTTCCCGGATGTTACTTACATGTGTAATTATAGAAATATTACTCGATTTATGGCTTTTAGATTATTCAGCCTAATTTTCGTGTCCGTTTCTACGACTTCATTTCTTTTATGATCCGTGCTTATGTTAAACAATTCTTGCCTGTCAAGGCACCAGTTTCTTAGTGGACTGCAATAATAAAATTATTATTACATAAACGTCTCGTGCCGAAAGTACATGTACTAGTGAGCTTACAATTTGAAATTAAATTTAGGCTGACTCAGTCGGTACAGCGCCAGCCCAGGGCTAGAGGACTGGGTTTCGGTCGCCGGCAGGGGCAACAGATTTTTCTCCATACCACATCGTCCACACCGAATCTGGGGCCAAACCACGTTTCTATCCACTTAATACCGGGCACTTTCCCCGGGAGTAAAGCGGTCAGGGCGCTAAGGTGGCCACTCACCCGCATCTAATGCAGAGGTCAAGAATGGTGGAGTTATACCTAACTGTCCCTCCTCTCCCCCACACATCTTCAAGGCATACTTCATTAATTAAGCACACAGCTATTTTTTTTTCGCTGACTCTACAACCGCCTTTGGTCCTTGGCCTCTGATTTTCAGTTTCATTGATAATTTTACAGAAGGCAGGACTCCTTGGACGAGTTATCAGCTCGTCTCAAGGCCTCTGCCTAAACACAGGTCAACACAAACACAGTATAAACATATACCATATACCAAATATTCATGCTTTGTGTGGTAATCGAACTCACGATCCCGGCTTCCGAGCGATCGAATACAGTACATGCCTTAGACCGCTCGGCTACTGTGACCGGCAGTGTATAAGAATAATATATAAGAATTCAGTTCGTACCTCACAGGAAACATCCGAACCCACGATCCCGGCTTCCGAGCGAGCGAAGACAGTGCATGCCTTAGACCGCTCGGCTACTGTGACCAGCAGTGTATAAGAATAATATATAAGAATTCAGTTCGTACCTCACAGGAAACAGATCCGAACCCACGATCCCGGTTTCCAAGCGAGGGAATACAGTACATGTGAGACCTGAGACTGTCATGACAATCGACGCTAAAGTTATTGTCGTAGGAGCTACGACGCTTGGTAGTTCAGAAGACCTCTACCAACTCTTCGGAAGAACCTTCTTCCTTTTCCTGCTACCCTCAAAATAGAAACAGTTGTTCCTCTGTAAAGTTGCTACCTATCTACCAAGCTGCACGGCATCGTAGCCCAGCGAATCGTGACATTCATATTCATCACCTTGAGAAACAAAATCTCAGCAGCACATATGTCCTATAATAAAAATAAAAGGTTAAACTGTCCCTATAACAGGCCGTGAAGGCTCATAGGGTTGTGATACGTCGAGACTCTCACATTTTCTAGACAGTCGACTCACAGATGTCGGTGAGGTTGTAAGCCTTACGCGCCGGCCGCCCTTTACCACCCAGGAAGATTACTCGTACTCATTTCTGTTAGAGTCTGAGTAGACCCCAGGACCATTGTGCGGCTGGAAGGATTAGGTCAATTGAAAAAAAATTCACCCCATCGGGAATCAAGCCCGCGATATTCCGGCTTGTAACATAGTGCCTCAACCAAATACGCTGCCGGGTGTTCCTGTGTCCTATAATGTTGGTACAATAAGATGGTTTGGAACAAGACTGAATTACAGTCAGGCATATGACTTCACTTATTACTTATTAATTTACCCCCATTTCTTTTACTGCTTCGATGTCTTCCTTATATTTGTAGTATGATTTGGCAGCGTCATCTCCGTTCGATCCATCAGCAATTCGGTCAGGATGCTCGTGTGTATGTGTGTCCCATATACTCTGACCTTTTCCTGCAAAATTTAGTGATAGCGTTATGAACTACTGGCCTGGTTTCGAAGAAGAGAATCGTCTGGCATGTTGTACGACACAAAAACATACTAGAAAGCGTTAGCCTTGAAGGAATTATCTATTCTGTATGAGTATGTCGCATAGCTGACGTGCAAATTGATTAGGTGGGAACAATGCTATTACCACATAATTTAGTATCCTGAAATGATGAAAGGTGCTGGCTCTTGGAAAATTTACGCAACTTCTTTTTATGTAAACTTTTGTGGAATATTAGCTAAAAACATAGCAACCAGCCACAGTCATGCTAAATTACTTTGACTTTGGGTTTGCTGACGATAACTGACAAATTGTAATTTTGGGCATATGAAATTTGATTTTTGATAGGCAGTCAACATAACTGCATGTTCTGTATTTTTATTGTTTGTAAATCGACAATTACAAAGATGGCGACTGTGGGTAAGTTTGACGCAGGTAAAACTATCCCTGTAACAGGCAGTGAAGGGCCATGGGATTGTGAGACATCGAGCCTCCCACATATTCTCTAGACAATCGGCTCAAAGATGGCGGTAAGGTTGCCTGCCTTACACGCCGGCCGCACTTTACCCCCCCCCCCCCCCCCCCCAAGGAAGATTACTGATACTCATTTCTGATAGATTCTGAGTTGACCCCAGGTCATAATTGCCGTAGTGCGGCTGGAAGGATTACGTAAATTGAAAAAATCCACCTTATCGGGACTAGATCTCATGGCCTTCTGGCTTGTAGCATAGTGCCTCAATCAACTATGCTACCGCGTGCCCCGAATTTGACGTCATACCCGAAAAAAAATATGGTTCCTTCACAGTAATAGAATTAAATAAGAATAGAAATTGATCCTTAATAAATGGAATACGAAATTGAATTTTGGAAATCTCTATTGAATTTCTTCTAATTTTTTGTTTGTATCCTGTATTCTAAAACAAGACTTGAACATATATCTACTGGCCTCTGCTTCTAAACGTAATAAAAATACTACATCACGAAGATTAATAATCAAAAATAAAATTATTAATATAAAGTATATTTTGTAGTAAAAAGGTAAAGCTATCGTTGTAACAGACCGTAAAAGCCCATAGATTTGTGAGACGTCGAAGCTCGTCCATTTTCTCTAGAAAATCCTTTAATCACACTTAACATGTGCAGCAAAATGTCTTAATAATTCACTCACCATCAACATCATGTGCTCCTTCAGTCTGATAAGCTGAGGTTCCAGCGCCGAACAAGAAACCCTGTGGGAAAGTAAACGTGCGATTTTTTTGTGCTGAAACTATTAGTACGAGATATAGGATCGCAAGTGGTAGTCTCATGTGAGGCTCCATCCTTGTACTGCACAGCACTACCCAACTATGGTGACAGGTTTTATATACCGTCGTCCTGTTCCAAATAGTTAAAACAAGGTAACACCTATAGAAGCTCAGTGTTGTTGTCTATGACTGACTTCACATATATTTACAACAAGCAGGAAAATACGTCAGCTGATATGACATCTCTTTCTTCCTCAGTCTGAGTGTTTTGTTTATCATAAATTTATTACAAACATTTTTAGGAACAAACTTATCATGCCTATAATTCACACTGTGTCAGAGTTAAATTGTAGGACACACTTTTTACAATGATAGTAGAATAAGTACATGCGCACCAACATTATTTGTAATAGACTTGAAAGGATTCTGACGATGGTGTATACTGTACTTCTTTTGACTTATTTTGGACTTCACCCATCGTCCGGTATATAAAAGACAAAAAAAAAAGAAGACTACCGGACGATGGGTGAAGTCCAAAATAAGCCAAAAGAAGTACATTATTTCTAATATAGAATATATTTTTAAAAAATGTATCTTTGTTCGTGAAGTGGCACGCAGTAGCGTAGTTGGTTGAGGCACTATTCTACAAGCCGGAAGGTCGCGCGTTCAAGTCCCGATGAGGTCATTGGAATTTTTTCAATTGACCTGATCCTTCCAGCAGCATTATGGCCCTAGGGTTGACTCAGGCTCTAACAGGAATGAGTACCAGGAATCTTCCTGTGGGTAAGAGGCGGCCAGGGCGTAGGGCTGACAAACTTGCCGCCATCCATGAGCCGATTATCTAGAAAGTGTGGGAACCTCAATATCTCACAACCCTATGGGCCTCCACGGCCTGTTACAGGGAAATCTTTACTTACTTACTTACTTACTTACTTACCTTTGTTCGTGTCTTACTACTTGCCTTGTAAATGCGGGTATTATTTAGACCACGTGAGTTTCTGACATGCTTGTAACTAACTTGGAATCAATCGAACGGACTTTCATGAAAATAATTACGAATGTCATGCAGTTCAAGTCAGTTCCATAAATGTGAATTTGAATGTCCTACTACCAACACCAGAATGCAGGACAAAATCATGACATAAAGATAGGAAACAGATGTTTTGAAAATGTGACACAGTTCAGATATTTGGAAACAACGATAACAAATCAAAACCTGATTCAGGAGGAAATTAAGAGGAGATTGATCTCGGGTAATGCTTGCTACCATTCAGTCCAGAACCTTTTGTCTTCTCCTCTGCTGTCAAAAAACATAAAAATCGGAATATGCAAAAGTATACTTTTGCCTGTGGTTCTGTATGGGTGTGAAACTTGGCCTCCGACATTAAGGGAGGAACATAGACTGAAGGTGTTTGAGGACAGGGTGTTGAGGCGAATATTTGGACTGAAGAGGGATGAAGTGACAGGAGATTGGAGAAAACTATATAATGAGGAGCTTCATAACCTGTACTCTTCTCCAAGTATAATTAGAATGATCAAGTCAAGGAGGATGAGGTGGGCAAGGCATGTAGCACGAACGGGGGAGACGAGGAATGTGTATAGTATATTGGTGGGAAAGCCAGAAGGAAAGAGACCACTGGGAAGACCAAGGCGCAGGTGGGCGGACAATATTAAAATGGATCTTAGAGAGATAGGATGGGATAGTATGGACTGGATTGATCTGGCTCAAGTTAGGGACCAGTGGAGGGCTCTTGTGAACACAGTAATGAATCTTCGGGTTCCATAGAATTGTGGGAAATTCTTGAGTGGCTTCACAATTGGCGGCTTCTGAAGAAGGGCTCATCTCCATGAGTGAGTGAGTGAGTGAGTCTCTAAAACGCCAACTTTGGGAATTAAGTTAGAGGAGGGATAATATTATTTAGAAAGAGTTTTGGTAGAATGAGAGGTCGAGAGTTTGATTCAGGGTCGCAGTGTTAATTAACTTGTTTTAAAAATAATTCAAAATGTTGGACTGTGCCTCTTATGATCAGGTGGCGGGCGCAACTCTTACTTCTGGCTGGGACTGGAAGACGTCTCTAGGGATGAGACCAGGAAGCTAGGAGCACGGGAGTGTGAAATGAGGTTTGAACCCGAGCCAACAGACAGAGTGAGTGTGATGGATATCCTGCTGGGGGGGATTTGAATGAATCTCCTACTTGGACGAATAACTAAGGAGATGGGACCTGTCATAATAGAACACTAGCTGTGGGGTGGCTGTGCTCTAAGTAAACCACGCACAGCTTTCATACTTCACGTCGTGACAAGACAGGAAGGATGTGCTCTCGTTTCTTTAATGTGCTTCTTGCGACTTTGCATTCCTCACTAGGTTTCGTGATTCTTTAGTCAAAACAGGATATACTGTACACCTACACGTACTACAGACATTGCACTGCCCTGAATAGTGAATGTGTTTTCCTTGGGAGTGTCTTCCGGCAAATGACGATTGTTACTTGTTCTCCCTACTCTTAAACCCTGAAGCTGGAGTCAGCATAGCCCTCCGAAAATTATCTAGCGCTCTATCAAATTTTACGGCTTCACACCCCAGAAGATACAGCGACTGCCTTGAGAACCTAAAATCTCATTTTCCCTTCTGCATCGTTTGATATTCTCCGTATAGAAATCTATATAAATAAAAATTCAGAGGTTAATGAGTTTTGAATCGTGTGTCTGACATCGGTTCTCGTACAGTATCGAAACATTTAGTGTTACTGAATGGCAGCATACATAATTTTTTGTTATGAATTCTATTTCGAAAAAAATTAATTAACAACATATAGATTCTTGTTCTGCTTTGTGGTTGTTCGTCGGCTTCTCGCATAACTAACTCTACAAACGGTATGGTTGTGGCTTTCTTCCAGCTCATCCTGACATAAGTGAAATCTGTTGACTATGTGTAGATAAGTAGGTTTAGCCTGACTTGATGTGACAGACCTGCTTCTCCTGGCTTCAGGTTGGGATCAGCTGGAGAACAATAAATCACGTGCCCAGGTCTTTCCTCTGAGACGCAATGACTGGGATCTGCGGCAATGAGGCTCATGTTCTCAAGGGTTCCCAGGGGTTACAAAATTCTCCTGTCAGCTTCACAGAATATGAATATTTAGTGTTTTGTGCACATATATTTCCGTCTTAAATGAGACTTACTATCTGGTCAGCCTTCTTCTTCACTACATGTTTCGGCCGTATACGGTCATCATCAGGTGTCTTCTACCTTATTTATTAAATCCGTCACAACACAACTATATCAAGGTCAATGCCTAGTTTGGCTCTGCTACATGTTTCGGCTATTAAAAGCCATCATCAGGCAAATACATGGCCAACATATATACAACCACTGAACTTCAGTACTAATAAAATTTGATATAACAATATTAATTATATTAAAATACTTGGCTTAAAAATACAATAAATTAGATTATGTAAAACAAAAGTTATATTATAAAACAAGAATAAAATTCTTCGATTGATGCTTTACATCATCGAGTCAGTCTTTGGTTTTTGTGATTTTGTTGCGTTCCCATGGACAAATTGGAGTATTCTATATTTTTTGTATATATAATAAACTGTTATTGGAGGCTCGTGATGTAGATATAGTAATATTAATGTTAATTATTTAGTCGGTGCTCATGTTGCAAAGTATTGTCCGTTCTATAGGGAATGTAACCTAACGACTCTACCTGCTACCTTGCTAGTAAAATTGTTGCATTATATGTAGAAATTACGTATCGTGTGTGAAAGCGATATTTTATAATTCAAATAAATTTACTTTAATTAAAATTAATTAACACCTTTAATGTTTTTCATAGTTGCCGTCGTCTATTTGTTCAAAAGATTATTTTTGTTTGAGTGTTTCTCGTTTTGGATTTATTTGCGCAGGATTCACCTTTGAGGCATGAATATTTTGCTTATTATTTGTGCAGTTCGTAAGGATCTTGATGTAGTGTTATTATCAGTTTTGTTATGTATGCTCCATTGGCTGTAGGCTTTTTCCCCATGCTACAGCAGTTATATTGTTAAGTGGTCTGTTAAACCCAATTCAAAACTATCCTCTCTGCACTTTATTTACAGTCTGACTATACTTGCTAAGGTACTATTGAAATGTGATGCTTGCTATACTATAGCTCTCTTTCTAATCTTTATCATAGGTGTAGGCACTTACCGTAAAAAGATAGCTCTGACACTGCAAGTAAATTACGGCGCATGTATTACTAACACCATTTCGAATAGCATATAGTCCCGTTGATAAAAATGTGATGTCTGATGAGAGTGGACGAAAATGACAACAAAAGGAAATGTCATTGTAAAAGTCAAAAGGCGGACAGGATATTTGACATCCCAATTTGAACCACGCCTGATGTATGCAAGAATATTCAGGATACTCATGCAGCTAGCTTTTATGAGCTTCCCTTTCCATTATCTACTTCTTCTATCGAACGCTTGCATTTTCGTTTGTGTGTCCACTGTTGCCGCTCAATAGCCTTTGGTACGAACAGCTTTTTGTGTGCTCGTGTCAGCAACTTTCAGTTTTCTAACTCTCTTTTAAACTAAATGAAACCCTGTAACTTTTAGAACTTTTGTTTTAGTGACGGCCAAAGACCAACATAAACGCAGTGCGTGGTATTCCTGTTTGTTTTATAATTTCATTAAACCTCTCTGTTGGGTTCCTCTCAAGTGCACTGACGTAATTATAACTGCAGGCCTCTTTCGAGAACTTCTCTGTCATACCCGTGCAGTAGGTCACATACCCATGCACTTCTGATAAACGAGGCAAAACACTTCAACGGATATGTTTCTCAATTTCTCGTTGTTTCGTATAACGAAAGTTTGTCTTGGGAATTTTGGTCTCCGGCCTTCTCGGGTGTTATAATCCCACTGAGAAAAATCTGTTCTTGGCTTATGTAATATTCTACATCAACTGCAGGAATTATTTATAACCGAAACACCATTTGATAAGCACGTTAAAATGGAAAGCATGAGGGAGTAAACTGTCATGGGCTATATAAAATATACCATTGTCTGAGAAAATAGAAACATTCTTCAGGCGAAACAATGTCCTGGGCGAGACTCGAACCTCATCATGAATGATTTTGCATATAGTCATGAATACTCTTTAGTCTTTAATATTTGAAGTT